AACGGTTGTAGCTGAGCAAAAGGGAAACTGTCCTAATTCCAGCTAACCTATCCAGGTTTCCGGTTTTCTCACGACGGCCATTGCCCAACACCCGGCATCACACAGACTAGAATAATTGCTTCAAAGTCATCGTCGTCGTGGGTAGTGAACTAATAATCATCGCAGCAGACAAGCCCAAAGCATGAAATTATTTGATTGAAGTCTTCGTTGAACGAAGTTTGTGTAACAGATACCACGTGGACCGGTTCAAGAGGAGAGACAAACAGCAGTGACTACTTAGCAGATCCTCGCCATCCCATCCTCAGTCTCCACATTAGCCCTCTGCAAAACACTGGGTTTCCTCCCTTCCCCAGCTCTCGCAGCTGCAGCACGCATGCGCTTATGTTCCTGTTCAACGCGCAGTGCATGGGACTTTGTCACATCTCGAGCCAGCGCAGGAGGAATCCCACCCCTCGGCGGTTGCCCATACCCACAAGACACCCGTGACTTGGCTTGACGGTCTCTGCTCTTGTTCTTTGCTCCTGTGCGTTGAGTTGAGGCGAGTACGACTCGTGTTCGTGGAAGCTGCGCAGGGGGATGTGGCGATGGCTTTGATGCGGCTCTCACGTCTGTAGCCAGCGTGGCTAGGTATGTTTGGACATGCACCGGTTTATCAAATGCCTGGGGAACGTGGTGTAAGGTTGAATTTGAAATTGGTGAAGAGCACGTTAGATCCTCGTGACCGACTTCGATGTCTTCGCAACCACTGGGAGGCACCCATCCAAGCATTGGAGAGGCATTCGACTGTACGAGCGAATATGGCTGAGTGATCTCTTCCTCATCTTCATCAAAGTAGTTGAGGTAAACATCCATGTCCTCGAAAGAGGCTAGCGGTGGCTTCTTGATAAGCGTTTCCTTCATGATTTACAAAACACTTACCTGCAGGCTCATCCCATCTTGACACCTCCGTCCCAGTGCACCCCGACGTCGGTGCGAAAACATTGACCTTGCTCTCTTCCACCGTTGCCTGGCCCGGAATAACTTCAGGATCGGGGCACAAGATGTGCGCGAGGGACATCACGTTCGGTCGACGCAAGGGTATGGGCTGTACGATTGCATGCGCTACAACTTCCGCCATGGTTTTCTTCTCATTGGCCTCATACTCTCTCACAATCTCCACTAGTTCATCGAAGCTCGAGGAGGAAGCGAGATGCGTTGGCGGAAGTGTAGTATGAAGCGGTCTCAAAGCTAAAAGAGTGGAGGGGTTTAAGGAGTGCATGGTATAGACAGTGCTAATCGCTCAAGAGAAGAATACTGGAACCAAAGCCCGATATGATGGACTTTAACATAACTCGTCAATGTCAGCCAACGTCAGCCGAACGATGTCTGCTATCCTTGTGGAATAATATTATATGTTATCATATCTGGACTTACATCAAGGCCTTGTAGTCTAGAGGTACGATACTTGCTTTGGGTGATCACAAGTGCAAGTGGCCTGGGTTCGATTCCCAGCAAGGCCCAGATCTTTTTGACATTTTGTTCTCCATTTCGAGTTAATTATACCCTGCCGCACTGCAGCCGCGGCCTCTGTTACTTATTCCTCTGTTTTTAGGATCACTGTAACGATGTTCTACCAGCGCACACCGTGGAGGTTTCCAGAAACCTTGTCAAGCAAGCTTGTTTTATCATTGGCCACAGGGTTATCGTTGTCCCGAGAATTCGCTCAGCATTCAAATTCAAACAGTTTAAACTTTTACCAGTCTGTCTATCGGCAGCTTGCCTCGTAGACGGGCTGGTCACGAGTCCATCCAACAAGAGGTCCCGTGTCACCGTAGTGAATCGGATGTCGAATAACCGGCTTGATGCTATTTCGCCTATCATAAGATATTGGACACCCACGGCTCATCACTGCTCAGACCGATTCAGACCCACATTCTCGATCAGACATCTAAATTTCATTCCTACCATCTTGTCCCAGCCCACTTGACATCATGATGATGGAAACTTTCATCACGAGTGTCAACTATGCCGCTGGTGTCGCCGCAATTATAGTGTTACTCGTCATGTTATACAAGACATCTCCCTTAGCAGGTAGGAAGGGCATCCCGCTTCCACCTGGACCTCCCGCCCGTTGGTTCTGGAGCAACGCTTTGCCTGCTGTGAAGTGAGTTTTGGCAGCCTTATCTGAGATATCAGAAACTGATGCAGATCGTCTGCTCAGCATTGCCCATGCGCTGACCGACTTGGTTCGAGAGTATGGGCCGATTGTGTCGTTCCAACAAGGTAGCCAAGTGATAATTGTGATCGGCAGCATTGAGGTATACTGCCTATACACCGAGTTCCCTCCGACAATGACAAGATATTGTCTCTTTACCAGGCAGCCACAGACATCATGGAGAAAGAGGGCGGGTCACTGGTAGATCGACCTCGGTCCATTGCCGCGGGTGAGATGCTCTCAAATGGCATGCGCATAGTCCTGGCTCGTTCCGGAGATCAATTCCGGCGCCTCCAAAAAGCAGTACACACCCATTTACAGCCAAAGGCGGCAGAGGCATACAAAGATATGCAGCGCAAGCATGCGATGGATTTTATATTGGACATGTTGAATGACCCAAAGAACCACCAGAAGCACGCACATCGGTACGTTATTGCTAATACCTTTTGTGGTCTTTTCATAGATATGGTACCTCAAGGTATGCAGCATCGGTCATTCTTCGGGTGACTTATGGAAAGTCTGCGCCTACTGCCAACACCGATCCCGAAGTTGTCCGTATCCGCAGAGCTGTTAAACATTTCCAGGCTACAATTCGCCCAGGAGCTAATCTCGTCGATCGTGTGCCCCTTTTGCGCTACTTGCCTGGTTACGGAAAACAACTTGATGAGTGGCATCATGAGGAGCTGGAGCTATACAGGCATCAACTAAGACGCGTCAAGAGTGAAGTGGTGAGGAGCTCTGTTTCGATAAACGTATGTCACTTATATCGTGTTGTACCCAGGATCAAAATACAGCTGGCTCCTCTTTCGCCAAGACACTATTGGAGAACACAGAAGGATACCAACTCTCTACAGATGAGATGTCGTATCTCGCCGGATCACTCTTTATGGCGGGATCTGACACGGCAAGTCGTGCAACTTATTAATTTCCGCGAACTTACTCATTTTTGGTTCAGACTGCTATTGGAATAACCGCTATTATCATGGCCGCGGCATGCCATCCACTGGCTCAGGCAAAGGTACATGAAGAGCTCGATATGGTTATCGGGTCAGACAGAGGTACGCCAAAGGGCTACAGAGCGTTCGATTTCTCCATCAATTTTTCGTGTTAGCGCCGATATTCGAAGACTCAAGCTCGCTCCCTCAATTGCACGCATTCTTGTTGGAAGCTTTGAGATGGAGACCTATCGTTCGCATAGGTAGATTTTAAATTCGGCACACTTCTGCATGATGCTGATATGCGTCTCAGGATTTCCCCACCGTGCAACTAAGGATATTTTTTGGGTCAGTGTTTCAATTTCGTTGTGATCCACGTACGTTCTCATTCTAGTCTGTGTGCGATCAGCAAGGATATTGCATTCCCGAGGGTGCAACAGTCTATGGGTGCCATTGGTAAGGTGTTGCTGCACGATGCACATCGCTTCATTAATCGCACATTTTCAGGACTATCTCCCGTGACCCTATCGCCTTCCCGGATCCTGATGTTTTCAATCCCCAGCGTTGGCTTGATTCAGAAGGCCGACTTAAGGATAATATGAACTCGAAGCTCGTGACATATGGGTTTGGTAGACGGTAAGTCGTGCCTATATCGTTTTCGACACCGATCAACGAAGTTCACGAGTCATTAAAAGTGTATGTCCCGGCCTGCACCTCGCAAATCAGTCATTGTACATTACCCTCGCACTTCTTTTGTGGTCTTTCCGCATTGCTCAACGACCTGACGCCCCAATCAACACGCACGCTTTCAGTGACGTGATTATTGCCCATTCAGCGCCGTTCGAAATTGATGTCATTCCCCGGATGAATGTTGCGAAGCTGAGAGACATGATGACAACCGATGGACGTATGGATTAGAGATATCATGTAGGAATTTGTCCCCGATGCCTCCGCTTTTTCTGAGGACCCGTCTTCAGGAAGATTACTCCTTCAAAGGTGTATAACCATTGTTTATCAATCTGGGTTCGGCACAATCACCGCATTCCCGGGGCTTGCAGTAGGAATCAAGTAGTAATTTTTTCGTTCTATCTATGTACCATGTTTTCACAGTCTACCATATGTAAGGAAATGGTCGGAAGCAATTCGCATGACACCCATGTGTGAACCGTGTCTGCAGAGCGAACGCCCACGCATATATAACTTGAATACCAGAAGAGCTCTCGAGTGTATGCGGCACTTGCTAGTCACTCAGGGAGTTTATACATGCATCGATGCATCCTTACCCCGTGCCAAATCCGAAATGATCCTACCACGATGTCAGTAACTGAAACCCACATGAATCGAGGCTACATGGGTCACAATCAGTTTGGCCATATATTATGCTGTCAACAGCATATGAATATGCGCCATGGCCAGCGTACCACGTATCCTGCCAGCTCGCAAAGGTGCAGCCATAGAAAGAAACATTTGCATAGCTGAAGGAGCCAACGAGAGCTTGAGAAATCGAGTAGTTGGCCTGAATCGCCGAGATTGTACGGATGTGAGCGTAAGAAAGACGTCGAAGCTCACAGCACGATTTTCGAAGTCAATATTATACGCTTTGAAGTCAGTGTTACCGAACTGCTGTCCATGGGGGCGCGCAACGGTGAGAGTCGCAACGTCGGTTATCCTAGGTAGGATATGTAAATTGTTCCAAATGTGAACAAGGTTGCGCTGAGAAGCATTCCCCGCTGGGTCGCAAGCAGTGTCAGGATGAAGCGACCCTATACAAAAATGTCTCGCCAATTAAATTCACAGATAAAATGACAATTACCAGAAGAGTGAGCGGCGCGGACCGCGTAACATTGTCCATTTCAAAGTATTCCCGCTATTAGAATTATTGCGTCGCCCGTCTCTGGCCTGTGCGAGTATCAAGACATGAGGCAAAGGACAAACTTTAGTTGCTACCCACAGGGACTCCACAGTAGCTTGGACAGTTTTACAAACTTGCTCTGCTATCTATGGCCGACACAAACAGTGTTCCATTTGGGCATCCAGTCAAGGGAGAGGTTTCCGCATTCTGTTGTAATTGGCATGCAGAATAGTGCGGGGAGAGGGCATGAATTTGCACACTCGAGCTGGCTAGAAATGCGCAAAGCACTGCAAAGTATGCCAAATATTGCCCCATTGGTGTGATACCTAGGGGGAGTAATGCTATATGCCTACCATCGCTCGTCGCACTTATCAAGAAAATACCCACATCCATTTCCAAACCATGGGGGGAGAGACAGGCGGTAGTGATCATGCGAGGTAAACATGCCGAATCAAGAAATCCGATTTGTCCGACAGAATTCCTAAGCCGCCGATGCAGCGTGCGAGAGCACTCAAGTCAGGATCTATGTAGACTCATCACGAATGAATTATCAATGGGCTGGTCTCCCCAAGCCAACCCGACTGACGGATAGTCATTCCTTCGCATTGAGCCAACCCTGATGGCTTGAAGGATCGCCGTTACTCGGGCCACGGAAAATTTGATGACGAGGTCGGACTCGCGGCACACCATGTGGATCGACCATCATGATCACCGTCATGACAATGCACACTAACACTAGACCATGCCTGCCATACCGCAGCATGTGATGAAAAGCGGGAAAACGTGATAGTAAGTGATGGTACATTTAGCATGATTTATTGTGACCGAATTGTTGACAACTGCCATCATCGCCACGCACGGTAGTATTGAGATCGGTGGTGACGAAGTTCGGATGTTCGAAAACACATGAGGACATCGGCAACG